TACATTATCAAAATCGAAGGAATGTTGATGTGAATCTCTGTTAGCTGTACAGTCTATCAATTCTTTTCACTTGATAATGATAGCAGTAGCTGTCGAAATATCGTGTGAAAGAAAATAAACTTGGTCATAGGAATATGATCTTTACAGTGGTATTATACTTTATTAAACTTCAGAATCAGTATGGTCGATTACCTATCACTCACCGGGTTTCATCTCAAAAGCGATTGGATAGTTGGTGGACCTTCCTCGTTAATGTGTGTTTTACAGAATGGTATCAGATAATTATGAAGATGTCTTAAAGATACTCTCATAATTTCTGACCTTGCTACAGACTTGTAACGACTGATCATTGTCAATTTAAATTGTTATCGCAGCTTGATCTCGAAAATAAAGTGGACGTATTCTTTGTTCAACCTACCAAAATCACTTTTTGGTAGACATTTTTTTGGAAATTTCGATTTATCATCATACATGGACTGACTCTATCGAAACTTTGTCCATTTCATCTAAGACTTTTACCACGAATACTCCATTCAGACTTGATCGACTAGTTTTCTGTTTAGAGTCTTCTAATGCTTTCTCTGTTTTGGAAGAGTAAAAATACGGAGAGCCTTATAAGTTTTTCGAAAACCATTTATAAAAGTACTTAGTGAACGTCTAAAAATCATAAATTGAAAAATATCCGAGCGTACAGATGTCTATTACAGATCGTAAAAATTTTCCCGAACACACAAAGTTTTAATGTGCAACTAGTGTAACCTTGTAGTTAGCAAATGTCTTTTTCTGAGGGTTTTGCGCCAATTCTTATATGTCTGCGAGAACTTGAGAACACTTTATTGTGAGGAAAAATGTTTGCGCTTTAAAGTTAAAATATAAATAGTTAGTTAAAATATTTTTTTTGAAAACCAGAAAAATGAGAAAAAAAACTTCAGAATTAAAAGGACTCATGTTTTTCATTGAAAATTTTGCAAAGATTCATTTTTTGAGAAATGAAAGGTCATGGAAACCTTAGAGACATTTCATTCTGTAAAAGACACTTTAAGGTATATTTCGACAATATCGGCTCGAAGCTAAACTCTCTTTCAAAATGAGAGCGTACCTTAATTCTACGCTCAGCCGAAGATTGCATTTCATGGTGTTAAGACAAACGTAAGTCAAAACGTCGTTCAAACTTACGATTTCTGATAAAACATCATTTCCTTTACTAGGATTCAGTCTAGACTCAAGTGATTACTTAAAAATTTAATGGTAGAAAATTTTAATAGTTTTTTAAGTAACTCAAAGTGATTACTTAAAAAACTACTCAAGAGTATTAATGAAACAATTCTCTGTTTTTTAGCTGCTAGAGAACAGTTGAATCCATCATATTTTTCGTTATTTTTTTAGATGATGTTCGTATGAGTATTAGTCCAACAAATATGGATGTTGTTAAAAAATCAAATCTATTTTTTACCGAAAATTATGAAAATCTAGATAATCAAAAACGAGAGAATAATCATAATCACATTGCCGATGAACATGGAGATGATGTAGAAGATGAGCAGAATACAGAAGAAGAAGAGCAACAGCAAAAACTTGAAAGACGAAAGAGTTTATCTGCTCGATTCCGATCAACATCAAAAGAAATTAAGTAAATGATTACTAGTCAAGTCTTGATAATATTATCATATTAACCTCTTTTTAGTTCTGTGGAACATGCACCTTCACAACAAGCACCGACAAAATATACTCGATCTCAAACAATCGCGACTGAAGTAAAAACATCGTTAAAATCATTTAATCCAACAAAAAAAAATCGGGGTACGATCATTTCGGATTTTTTGAAATAAAAACTAAAGATTTTAATTTATTGCAGCATTTGACATTATGATAATACCTGAAGAAAGTAATATTTTCAGTTTAAGAAAAAGAACTTATATAGATGGCTTAAGCGTGTCTTTGTGTGCTTTTAGTAGCCTCTTATGTTTTAAACTGTTATATCTTAAAAGGAGTTATAGTTTTTAGCTTTTTGTCATTTTCGACTACTGATATTTACTAGTTATTTCTAATTTTTGACATAGTTTACTAGGAATAGATCTTTCTAAAAAGTTGTCAGATATCTAAATCTAATATGTTTATAAGAAGCTGTTTATAACAATTGTTTTTTCTTGAAAAAATTCGCAACGCTTTACTGGACCTGCAAAATTAAATGTAATTTTAACAGCATTTCCTGTACATAGAATTAATATCTATTTCAAAATGTATGTGGATGCTTTTTAAATATCAGTCGATTCAATTTGTGAGATAAAGATCTGTGGTTTTCGATGTTCGATAGAAGACACTTTAGAACATGTATCAGTGTAAAAGCTGAGTTTAAGTTTTTAGTGTGCCATGCTGAACCTCATTACGCAAAATCTACGAAGTTGGCAGAACACGAAAAAACAATGGATTTTAAATTCTTTAAGCTTTTAGAAGTGGGTTGGTTCAAGTCGCTGGACTCTCCTCTGCATCTATCATGGTGCAGATGCGACACAAATCTCGAAATCTTACGTATCTCTCAAACCTATAAGAGTACTTTAGTACTTTGAAAAGTTTTTCTAGACAACTTCGGAAGTCTTCGGGGATTTGTGTCGCATCTGAGCCATGATAGATGCAGA